GTAGAAGAAGTGTCACCCATAAGAGTACAGAAAACACATTTTTTAAAAGATTTTTTATTTATTTATTTGACAGAGAGAGTACACAAGTAGGCAGAGCGGCAGGCAGAGGGAGAGGGAGAAGCAGGCTCCCCCCTATGCAGAGGACCCCCCTCCATGCAGGGCTCGATCCCAGGACCCTGGGATCATGACTTGAGCTGAATGAAGGCAGATGCCTAACCAACTGAGCTACCCAGGTGCCCCGAAAACCCCCTTTTTTGAGCTCTAATGGAAAAGGGTTCTCACCATGTATTGAAACAAGGAGGTATAAGAAGTTGATATCAAATTTCACCATGTATCTCGTACAGATACTGAATACTTAGCAACCTTCCCCATGCTGTCTCCAGTCTCAACTCAGACTTCATTTCTTTCACCCAGACAGGGTATAGTAACTGTGCCATGTGATGCAACTTGACAGGGCACTTACATGCACACATTTCCATCCAAGAGGGAAAAACAAGACCTATACCACTATAAAACTTGGCTGTGCATGCAACACAATTGCTAAGGGTTGAGAACCAGGATTCATTTCTGACTTCTCCCAACTAGGCTGCTGGTCCCGGTAGCTCAATGACAACCCTTAAGTATAATTGTGTTCATCTCCACTTTCTGAATGAAGAGGCTTTTCAAGTCTAACCCATCCTACTTTTCAAGGCCCATGCTTCTTTAGGAACGATGGCTGGATCGTATCACCTTTGATTCAAAACTCTTCAGAAGTCCCTGGGGGCCTGTTAATGCTGCCTGGCTGTCGAGGTCCTGCCAACCAGGCCCACCATGAACCTCGAAGTACTCCTCCTGTCATCTTCCTCTATCTAGCTACCTCCCACTTCAACCAACCTGAATGGGAATGTCCAGGGGTTCCTGGGTTTCTTTCGTTTTCATGTGTTTCTCTCAGTTGAGGTTGTAACTCACTCACCTCATGTCTGCATGCCCAAATTCCATCTAACCAGCATGGCCCAGGCCAAAAGCCTCATAAAACCACAGCCAGGAGCCATCTACTCCTTCTCTAAAATCTTGTTTTTACATGTGTTTTTCATATGAGGCCTGTGACTACTTTCCTATAGTTTTTAGTCATTTGTACACTGGTATAATTTATTCTGAAAACTTATAAACTTCATAAAGGCAGGGGCACCAGATACTGGCACAAAGTATGGAAATTAGTGAATACACAGTAAAAGGTGGTTGAATAAAAAAAAATGCATAAATCACTCTTGTTCTTTTTTATACTCATAGGAAGGTGTGCAGGATCATTAGAGATAACGTCATCTATATATCTATATGACTATTACTTTAATAATTTTATTTTTTTTAGAGATTTTACTTATTTTTTTGTCAGAGAGAGAGAGAGAGCACAAGCAGGGGGAGCAGCAGGCAAAGCAGGTAGAGGGAGAAGCAGGCTCTCCGCCAAGCAAGGAGCCCGATGCGGGACTTGATCTCAGGACCCTGGGATCATGACCTGAGCCGAAGGCAGACGCTTAACCGACTGAGCCACCCAGGCATCCCTATAATAATTTTAGATATAAATTCTTCCAACATCAAGAATTTAAAAAGAGAAAGCCCAGAAATATTGGTGATATGGCATTAGCTTCCAGACTCACACACTCATGGAGGAAAGTGTACACACTAGGGTAGTTACCAAAAGATGTCATAGTTGGAAGGAGGGTTGTGATATTACATGTGGATATATAACGTAGTTTCTATGCAGATAAAAGAACTATATTTGTATTTTTTTAGGAGCCTCTAACGTAATGTTTTAAAATAAAGGTTCCTCATAATATTAATCTTTTGATACAGTCTGTGAAGAAAAGATATTGTGCTCGACTAAGTTTGAGAAACTGCAAATTATGCCACCCGCTTAGAAACTCGTAATCTAAAGTGCTATGGTAAAGGTTTCCAGAAATCAGAATCTTTACAAAGATTGCTCAACTTTCATTAACCTTGTTTCCCAACCATTATTATCCTTGGAACAGTCTTTTTCAGATAATAACTATTTGTATCCCAAGGAAAGGGTCTACCACAGAAAATGTTTTAGAAACTACTCTTCTAAGGTTTTACTTGTGAACAAAACCCAAGCTATTTGTTTTAACTCTGCCCTTAGGGTGAGATATTTATAATGCTTTCTTTCTGGTCTGTAAGTGATCAAGTCACCTGCGATGACGAGTGCCAGGTTAGAGGGAAGGGGTGGGCCTGCAGTGAACAGTGCAGACCTGTGTGCACAGAACACAGGTAGCAGACCATGGGGGTTGAAAACATCCCACCACACTCTAGCTGTTGGCCAGAGTGGAAAGGGAGACTGAAAGTGCATTTGTTAGACCTCAAAGCCATTTCTGCTGCAATGTTCTTCCTTCCCTGATTGTTTTTGCTTTGTACTTTGAATCTCTCTTATAAAGCTGCTCTGGCTCATGTGTACCCTACTTATTTTTGTTATGATGATTTATAACTTTATTTTAAATCCTCCAACCATACTTCTAATTAATTACATAACTCCACTTCCATAATGTTACATAACATTCTCTCCTATCCCACCCACATCCTGTGAAACTATATTAAAACAATAAAATAATTATGGCTGACATCCATTGGCATCCTGGTTAGAACATTTAGTTCCAACTATCGCAGAATAACTAAGTGTATGATAAAACTTACAAAAATAAGTCTAAGTGCTTTAAATTTATTTGTACTCATTTGGAATGGTGCCACATAATTAGGATATAATCAAGTATGCAATAAAAGTTTGGTGAATAAATGAATGCATAAGTCACTCTTGTTCTCATTTACGCTCACAGAGAGGATCATTAGGGATGACTGTATCTATGTAGTTACATATATATGTATCCGTGTCTCTCTATAAGCTTATGTACTGAATAATATGTAATTACAAAATGTGACTGTGGTAAAATTATTAGCCAACATGAAAAAATAGGAATGTTCTGATGATAAATTAAATCCTGGAAATTCTTCACTGATAAAGCCATCTCTCTACACAGCCATCTCAAATATTCTAATGTAAAAGACAGCATAATGTAAGATCTGGAATAAATAATGTTGGGTATCAATATTTAGTGAAAGTAGACAAGGCTCAGCCTGAAACAGTATCCAAATTGCTTTATGCAGGAAAAGTCAAATGTCTCAGTGGGAAAGAGCACGTTTGCAGGAGGGGGGCCAAAGACAGAGAAAGCCTGTCTTTTCCACAACCGTGATTAATGTTTCAGATAAAGAGGGCTGAGTCATGCTAGAAATCATTAAAGAAAAGATAAAAAGTTCTCAGAATTCTGTGAAAAGAAGATAAACATTCAGACTCATATTTGGATCCCTGCGTTTGGGATCACTGCCAATATGAGAGAGCTAAATGGAGGCTATATTTCTAAAGTGATCTCTATTGGTCAGCCCCTTCCTTCCATTAGGGGAAGGTATTAATTAGGCAAACACATTGCTCCTTCTCAGAGCAGCTATTGGTTTAGTAGCTACTCAGCCTGTTGGTTTAATGGCTCAATAAAAAAAAAATGCAACATTCTCTTTTTATAACAAGTCTTTCATTGGATAGGGCTTATTTACAATGAAGAATTCAGGAGACTGAGATTTGGGGCAATGGGACAGATGTCCCAGGGAATGAAGCTAATGAGAGCGTGCATAAAAGTTCCCTTTTAAAAGAAAAAGAAAATGAGAATATAAACTTAAGAAATGGTAATCCTAGGTAGAGTTTTTAACTAGTAGCTTCATGCTATCTCCAACTAAGCAACATGAAAATGGAAAGATCTAATATGGGGGAAAGTGATAATAGGAAGAACAGTGGGAATTATCCAGATATACTCTCCAAACCCCTCTCATTGGTAATAATGGTTTTTAGACAGAGAGTATAAAAGAGAAAACTATTAGTCATTGTACTGTGATAGCACAGGGGAAGCTGTAGGGTTATATTCCCCCATTGAATACCTCCCAGAATGGCCAAAGCTGATATTTGGAGTTCTGTTATTATTTTTCAAAGGTTGTCATAAAACAATCTTACCTGCAGAATCTACAGGGGATTAGATAAACATTTTAGGATTAGACAGGATCGGCTTCTTCTAAATGTTTCTTTTTTTTCCCAATGTTCTAAGTCTTTGTGACTAAATTGTTGTTATATTTTACCTTCCTTTCAGTTGCCAGGATAAACGTTAGCACCTTTGAGTTATTGACCCAAAACTAGTGGCACTTTATTTACATTGTATGACCCAATATATTTGATAGAATTAGATCATGCCCTTCCAATTTCCCACTAAATGAAGAAATCTTGTTTTTCAGGTAGATGGTGGAACTTCAAAGAAGACAGAACAGAGTTTGGTGTAGGGCTGCTATTATAAGTCACTCAGGTTTTCCGACTTCCCGAATTTCCGAGCTACATGTATTCAATACCCCTAGATCTAAAATCAAGTTATACATTTCAAAAATGTGAAGTCGATGAATGTTGGAAATGGAAGCCATCTTATTCCCAGGACCCCTGTATTACTAGGACAAGAAACTACAGTTGGTTAATTGTTTGCCTACCACCTCTCCCAACGTGATGCCAGATTTACAAATATCTGGAACATCTTTACTGGGCATTACTCATGAAATAGTGTTCAAAGGGGTAACAGTGACACATAAGCAAACACATATTGGAAGAGAGAGTGAACCAAACTGGTGGTAAAAACATGACCTTCCTCCATAAGGTCAAATAGTTTTATTTTGATTAAACACTACAATACAGTATATATCCATTAAAAAAGAAAACTCTATAGTGTATATAAATTATTCCTTCCATTCATCAATTCTTTTCTTTTCCATTACAGCTTTGGTACAATGTGATTTCAGTATATCATTTTTAAATACTTTTAGCATCACAAACTCAACACAAAGTACAAAACTAATAATCCAAATTAGGGATATTATAATCTACACAGTGGTATTCAGTGGTAGGAGAAAATCTTACCTTGATGAATTCATGTCACTAGCTAAGCTAAAGGCATACCTAGCAGACATGACGGAAATATGCACCATTAAACAGCTAATGTGTGTATTAGTCTTTGTTTTTTTTTTGTTTTGTTTTTTGTTTTTCTGTTTGTTTTTTTACAGAATACCAGCAGCAATCATTTGAGTGTTGAGTGAATGCTTGAGTCCTCAGCCAGTCTCCCACCTTGCTCCTCTTCCCTTGAAGGCCAAGAGTAAGATCACAAACATGTAGCACAGCCAGAGCACTCAGAATTTGACCTGCCACCCGGTGTTGCTCATAGTTGTACAGTTTGTCCTGCAGCTAGCCGACATCACAGGGACAGTGCTGGAGGGGCAGTGTGGACCGATCAGCCTAAGGTTGTTCTGAGGCGTCGGCGGTGTGACATTACAGTAAACAGGCATTCCAGTGGCTGGGAGTGACCCTTGACCTGCCTGGTTAGGTAGCATGATTGGCTGTTGGTATGACTGCTGGGGCAGTCCTTGAGAACCCTGGGTCATTGGCACCTGTAGAAGACACAAGAGAGAGCCCTTCATGAAGAGGTTGAGTTTGTCTGTCCCATGAGCTACTGTGAGGTCAGGAAAAATACTCAAGCGTTTGGGTGAGACCTAACTGGTCACCCATCCCAGCGCTACCTTTTATCAGCTGTTTTACCTTGGGCAAGTCCCTCAACCTCTCTGATTGCCTCGGCCATCTGCATAGTGACACCCATGCAAAGTGCCACTGAGAAGATTGTAAGGCTGATGTACGGTGCTGGGACATGTGTGGTGATGGCGCAAAAGGCGTTATCTTTCTTTCCCTCTGCACCCCCCATGCCTCCAGCACTCACTCTCTCTCTCCCTCTCCCTCTCTCTCTCTGAAAAAAAGAAAAGTTAGCTCAGAACTTCCTTCTTTCCTCCCTCCTTACCCACTGGAGGCTGCAGTTTAGATTACTTGCTCAGAATTTCTGTTTGGAAAGCGACACTCCCATGCTGGTTTCACACACACAAAGTGGCCTGGAGCCACACAGCAAAAGGGGCTTTTGTCCCAGGCACCTGCCTCACTCTCAACCTGCAGCTTCAAAAAACATCTAATGTGGAGCCAGAGGTTAAACTGAGACAATTTGAGTCAGGATTCTCAGAGGAGGAGGACGGAGGATAGGGTTTTTATTTTGTTTTGTTTTGTTTGTTTCTTTGTTTGAGGGCCAGAAGTAGCTGGTGCAGCTAAATTTAACAGTCAAAGCATTTCACTAACCCTTCACTTCCACTTTCAGGCTATCTCAGGATGTAAATCACAAAAGGATGCATGACATTTTTAAAATACCCAGTATGGGTTGAGTCTAGAAAATAAGGTTGGTATAGACCTTATCCATGCCCTTTGAAAAATCTGAGATGCCATTTGAACACCTCTTTTAACTTGAAACTGTGGTAAAATGAAATTTGGGGGGCTGTGTACAAAAATGAGTGGAAATTTGTCATGAGGGTTTTTTTCCCAATAAGCCAAATTACAATGGAACAGCCAAAGGTCTTCATGACTAAAACGTTATAGGCTGCAGACTTTTCTTCCATGAATAGAAGTTTATATAGAACCACATTTAGTAGGACATTCAAAAGCCACAGTAGTTAGAGAAGCATACCTGTCCCATTTTCTACTTATAGTCTTAATTCAAAATCAACCATCAACAGGGGCTGGGCATAGCACCCACCACCCTGCTAACCACCCAACACGGGACATACCCACAGCCTCTACTTTGGCCAGTGCTACTTTCTAAACCACAATTTTCCAAGCTGCTGATGTGCACCTGATAAGAAGACATTGTTGGGTAGGAGACCATCACGCTTTGCACCGGAGCTCCTGGCTGGTTGCTCATCACGCTCTGACTCTGGGGCGGCTGCTGCACTCCTATGAGGCCTTGGAACCCCTGTTGGCCAGACAAGACTGGCTGGTAACCTGCAAAGAAAAACCACCTTTTGAACTGGTTGCCCCAGGAAGAGCACAAGCGATATCTCATGGGGTACAAGCACTTGTTCACAAGGCAGCCTTCAGACAGCTCGATCTGCCTGTCGGCAATGTGTTACCCAAATGCTTATTTCCCAAGAATGTGGTTTTTTGTTCTAAGAGTGGACAAGAGTAGGAAGCCAAAAAATTCGCTGATATTTGCATCCTCATGCAGAACGGTCCAATGAGCATGTTGTGACAATTGTAGATTTTTTTAATGGCACAAACACGGTAACCTCTATTGGTATTTGATAGCTATAAATTACACTTCTCATGATTTGTTGTTTGCTTTGTTTCAATATTTGGAGTATTCACAAATTATCAAGTTTTTTTTCTAATTAAATTGACTCATTCTCTTACTATCTCACCTTTCTGCACAAACTCGTTTCACCCAGAGATCATCAAACTGCCTAATAACTTTCTATTTTCCACGTTTTAGTGAATAAAATGATTCACTACCCTTACTAATTCGATGTCCATTGCCTTAGACAAAAGGCAGCAACAAGAGAAAAATATGGCATGCTTTTATTCTGTTTCAACACTAGCTCCCAGGAGAACATTCTGGTAAAGCACTCTACTAAATGACCATGTACATACAATAGATAATACAGAATACAGCACTTAAAAATTTTTATACATCGTGTCCTTCTGAGTGGGTCAGTTGCTTTGGTTTCTTTTCTTTCTTTCTTTCTTTTTTTTTTTTGAAGTGGATCATAATTTATTTGTTGCAATTATTTTAATCCCCACCACAAGTGGTTTAAAATGCATTCTTTAAGGAAGTGAACTAGTCTTATAAATTCTGGGAAGAAGGTTATGATTTAGGTGAAAATGATGTGGTGGTAGAAAAATGAAACAGATTGACTTCATGATATAAAAGAAGTCCTTCCAGAGCTCATATTACTAACCTTACTGACTACTTGAGAGAAAGTAGAACTGTTGTGTTAATACAATTCTCTGAGAGAAAATCTTTAAAATCCTAGATTTTTAAAAAAGATTTTATTTATTTATTTGAGTGAGAGAGAGAGAGAGAGAGCACGATTCCAGGACCGTGGGATCGTGACCTGAGCCAAAGGCAGACGCTCAACTGACTGAGCCACCCAGGCGCCCCTAAAATCCTAGGTTTTTTTTTTTAACACAAACACTGAAATATGTTTTACAACCAGATTTTGAAAATTGAAACAAAGGGTAAAAAAATTCCTAATCAACATGCATTCTTTTTTTTAAGATTTTTATTTATTTGAGAGAGAGAGAATGTGAGCAGGAGGGAAAGGATGAGAGAGAATCCGAAGCAGACTCTACACTGAGCATAGAGCCCAGCCACAGAGCTCAGTCTCACCACGGCGAGAGCATGACCTGACCGGAAACCAAGAGTCAGATGCTTAACTGACTGAGCCACCCAGGTGCCCCTCAATTCTTAATAAATAACCCGTGTTTTGAGTGCATGTGACGGTTTTAACTTTATATCGAGGACAGGTAAATCTTTGCAGAGGAAAATATCTTGCTATCCTTTTGCATACATAAAACTACATTTACTCTTCTTAGAAATATCATGGAGAAAATGGCTTGCAAAGAGTCACTGAGTTAGGAGATCAGCTCCGTTGGCCAAACTAGATGGAAATATGGTGCAGTCCATGTGGAACACCTAAGAGAGGAGGCCTGGGGAAAAGCTGAGCTGGAAGGCCTGACCTGTGCCTGCCACTGGGTTGGGAAGTGTGGAATTTAGAAAATCACCCTTTGATCTTCTTTACATATTCCACTGTTTTGTGTTCACAGTAGTCACCAAACTTCAGTTCCATAGTGGTTTTAACTTACTGAGTTATTTTAACTTCTTGTGAGGACACCACATATTAAGAATATAATTAAGAATAATGACAATCTCCCCTCTATCTACTTTGTGCCCATGGTACACACTCAAAGCCTTCCCTGGACATGCTCTGTAGGCCCATGTAAGACTAAGAGCATCAGCTTAGGGGGGTGGCATACCTAGAAGGTTTACAAGTTATACAATAAGGAAAACCCACCAGACAGGAACAAGAAATTGGGACAAAGGCCATGTCATCGTCCTCACTATCTCCCCGAATGCCTCGTATACAGAGGCACTTGGGAGAAAATTATTTTAACATTGCAGACATACCTCGTTTTATTGAGCTTTGCTTTAATGTGCTTTGCAGATACTGCATTTTTTACAAAGTGAAGGTTTGCAGCAATCCTGCTTCAAACAAGTTTATCAGCACCATTTTTCCAACAGCATTTGCTCACTTCGTCTCTGTGTCACATTTTAAAATTCTCACAGCATTTCAAATGTTTTCATTATTTCGTTTGTTATGGTGATCTGTGATCTCTGTTTATAAGTCATGGAAAGCTCAGATGATGGCTAGCATATTTTAGCTATATATGTATTATATATGTATAACATATATATATATAATTTTTTTTAAGTAGGCTCCATGCCCTGCATGGAGCCCAACATGGGCCTCGTCTCATAATCCTGATATTGAGACCTGAGCTGAGATCAAGAGTCAGATGCTCAACTGACTGAGCCATCCAGTCACCCCGTCAATAAGTATTTTTTTAATTAAAGTATACACACTGCATTTTTAGACATGATTCTAGGCTATACTTAATAGACTAAAATATAGTGTAAACATATATGCACTGGAAAGCCAAAAAATTCATTGACTCACTTTATTGCAATATTCACTTCATTGCAGTGGTCTGGAAGTGAACCCACAGCATCTCTGAGGAATGCTTGTCATTGCAAACAATTGTTTTTTATTATTTCCATTATCTAGAGATTCCACTCTAATTCATGTATCCATTGGCCCTGAAAAATTCTGTTGCTATTTTGCTTTTATTACGACATTATTCCTAGCCATATCAAACTCAGGCTAGCAAGAATTGTTACACATGCAAGAAAACAACTTGATATGAATGTAAACAATTCAACACCAACAGTCTTCCTTACCATCTAATTCCACAGCAAAGAATAGGCAATGTGTGAACACACTTTGTAGTCTAAGTAATGGTAAATATAATAGAGCCTTATTTCTCACTGAAGATTCAAAGCACAGGTTGAAAAAGTGAGGAATGTCTTAAAATTCTCACTTATATCTGGTCACAGAGTGAAAGCCCTGTTGGTCTCAACGGATGTTTTGCAGGACACACGTAACTAAGATGGGAACAGAAAGAGGGGAGGCAGGGAGGCGAGGGGGGGCAGGGGGGCGAGGGGGGCAGGGGTCGAGGGGGGCAATGGAGGCGGGAGGGCAGGGAGCCGGGGGGAGGCAGGGGGGTGAGGGGGGGCAGGGAGAGGTGCAGTGGCCTTGCTTCTAGAGATTATTTATGTATTTGCTTATTGAATCCTTCCATCCTCCCACAGAGTCTTCTTCAAAATGTTCAAAACTAAACTGAGGTGGCCTTTGAGAGATTCATTTATTGCACAAGCTCTAAACCAAAATTGGGGTGAAGGGATATAAGTCTTATGATAATAGAGCTGTTTAGACATACAGAAACAGAATGTCTTGATAGGACGAGGAAGGACATGCCAAATAATACTCAAGCAGAGAAAAAGCCTAAGGAGGCTGTGTGGCCTCATCCCAGGACAGGCACAGACCTGAGGGTGAGATGCATCTTTGCTGAGAGGACGGATGCAGTGCACTGCAGTGACTCCCTCCCCAGGCCTCCTCCGCCTCATGACCTGTGAATGTAAATACTCAGTAATAGCAGAGCAATGAGCTTCCAGCTCTGCACCGGGGTTCCTGTGGTAACCGCACTTAGGGCACATAAAGATTTCTGTGGGAAGCGAATAATGCTCTACAATTTCAAAATGAAAACTTAACGTGTAAAGAAAGCCCAATTTATATTCATGAATACCATTCATTTCTCAATTTGCTCCCCAGGCAAGAGATTTACACCTGGAATGGTTTCATTGGAGGTGCCCGTTTCTTTAAATTACGGTAGGCAGCAGAATGGTCCTTAAGACAGGAGGCTTTTTGGAATGTGAATCTGAGACCTGGTCCAGAAATAGACCAATAGAAATGCAATAGCAGTGACCTGAGAATGAACTAACAGTGTCTGCCCAGGACACAACACACCCAAAGGCAGAGCTGGCAGAGCTGGTGGCAACCTGCTTAGCTCGTCTATTCAAATGACAAATGTGCTCCAGTTTGTCAATTCTGAGCTGTGAAATGATCGTTTTTTTATATTTATTGAGGATTAGCAAGATAGAATGCATCTTACAAAACAGAAACAGCAACACTCTGCCCTGTAGGCTTGCCATGGAAATCATAAAGACATTAGCTATTTTTATTACTTTTTCCAGTCACGATTAATTCAATTTTCAAGTCACATGCACCATTTGTTTTCTGAAGGTAAAAAGGTTAGGAATGGACAAATGTCTCCTCGCAAATAAAAGAATGCACTCTGCTAAGATTGAGGGATTATATGATTTAAAATGTCTGGATCTGATCAATCTGAAAATTTAATACTGTTTCTACTAAAATACAACAGTTATTGGATACTCTTTGTATTTTGAGGATTATTCATTAATTTTCTGTCAAGGAAACATTTCTCTTGATACACCACAATTATGAAAAATCAGAATGTAAATTGATTAGGGAATATAAATTGGCATGACTGTGACGGACCTTATTTTAGCCAGTATTTGAATACTTTGTTACAGATCCAACCTTTTGAAATGAATGAAAGAACAAAGTAGCAAACTGTATTTTCAGTTGCCTCAGCTACTGTTGGTTACAGAGGTGAAGATGGGGAAATGAGTAGTTAAGAGAGCAGATATCTCTAGAACAAATTAATGAGAAACTAGCCAGTTCTTCCTGTCTCCCCCAACCCACCCAAGTAGTGTAATTTACATGTTGTGTTTATTAAGTAAAATATTCTTAATGTGCCGGGATGTCTTTTCAAATATTAAAATTAATTTTAATTAATTTCTTAAT